TAAAAACTTCTTTAAAACTTCTCTGTACAATTGAGGTCGGTGCTGTGTTCCAATTTACCTGTTTGATGTGTATAGCAAGCATCTGCAACTTCTGGCATACTTATACCTCAATGATTTTTTACACATGAGCTTCTCTTATTGACCACTAGCTCCCACACTGCTTTAAAAATTTTGTCTTTAAAGCTGATACAACACAAAGCTTCTTTTCAACAAGGTCAAGAAATATCCTTAAATATCATAAAAACAACTGTGTGTCAGCCTCTAAAAGGTCAAATTCCTCTACAAGGTTAATTAGTAAGGTAGACGAGTCCTAAATGTTTATTTTGAAGGGCTCTTAAAACTACCTTTCTTGGTTTTACATATTAATCAAATCTAAATAAGTAATTCTAGCCAATGATTTTTTAAAATATTTTATCTTCTCACTCTTTGTCTGAAATTAAAAAATGTAACAAGAAATGGCCGAAGAAAGGTGATAATTAAAAAGCTGTTTCGCCTCTTTAGTGTAGAGCCTGCAGGGGGCAGATCCCTAAAGAGTCATCCCTTGGGAGACATTGTTAAATACAACATGCACCTGGCTTTGAAGTGCATCCCGGGCTTCTTATCGCAAGGGTAAGAAACTCCCTCAGCACTCAGCTCTGTCCTGTCCCAGCAAAGGCACACTAAAAACTCCTATGCTGTCAGAACCTTCCAGATTGGAAGATGAGACTAAATAACTACCCCAGCCCAAGGACTAAAATCACAGGCCTAATGTCTAATCCTAGTAATGTAGATGTTGGCAGTACATGTTTGTGATCGATCAGGCCATATGTGCACATCTTTTCTGACAGATTACTAGTTTCTATACACAAAGCCGATCACAAATGCCAAACTTATTAAATTTGCCAAGGAAATTAACATTAACTGTATGTTGCTACCATTTTCCTCCCTATTAGGTGAACAGAGGCATGGTAGAGACTGGAGTGTAAGAGAAAGTACACTGCATTAGGGGATTTGGCTTGTTCTGACATTTTCTAGCCAAGCTTTTGGGTTGGGGGGGTCACAGGTTTCAATAAAAGAATTTCTATCTTTCCATTATCCCCAGACTTATTTTGTCCTACCGGACCCCCAAATTGACAAGCTTCACCTGTCTTCAGATTTGTAACCTAGTTCTACACCAGAGATGGCAAACCTTTGAATGCTTTCAATGATAACAAACTGCAGGCTTCCCCATGCCTGCCATAGGTCCACCACCACTGCTCTGCACAGTTGGATCTATCTTAGCCAAACAACTGTGCCAAAGCACGCTTGCTTCCTTGATGTCAGGTGTCACTTTACTCAGGAGACTCCTCTCGCTCTCCTTTCTGTCCAAGACACTCTATCCATTCATGTGCTCTTCTCTTAACCACCAAGGCAGGGAGGGATGGAAAATCTCAAATGTTCTGTTTCGTACCTGGATTCAAAAGCAGCATCTGCTACATCTGTGGAACCATCTGTTGCCCACTTTGCCATGGAAAAGGACAATGTGGGTCTCAGAAATGCAGTGACATGGGCCACACAATAAAATTATCCCCTTCTTGGGGCCGACACACCCAGGCATATGCTCCATGGTCACCATGGCTTAACACCACTCCTCCCCCATCAAAGAGTTTATTTTCTTACAAGGAATGGTATTTCTTAACTCTCACAAAAGGTCAGGTTCTGCTTTGCTTTTTATTCCAATTTTCTGAATATAGAGTTTTAAATTCTTGAATCTTGGTTTGTACCTAGAACTACATTTCTAATTCACTCAAGGTCTTCCCCATCACTAAACTCTACCTCTCTTATCTATAAAATGAAATGGGCTCAACTTAGTGATCTGTGAGGTTCCTTTGTGCTCTAATACTCCAAAACCCTGTGATTTAAAGCCAACTCAAAATCGTCAATGAACACAAGTCCCTTCACTTTGATGGCACAGAAAGACTCTTAATGCCAAAGGCCAAAGAATCTGCTGCAGACAAAAAGCTTCTATGACTTGATCTCCTCGTACTGAGCAAGAACAGCTAAATAAGTTTCTTGAGAACCTAAATTAAATTAAGATCACTAATTTTGTTAACCTGGTAACACTCCACTGCAGGATTTGGAATGGGATAATTCATTGTGTGTCCTGTGCTTTGCAGAATGTTTAAACAGTATTCACTTTATGAAAGTAGCAATCTCCTACCTGCAGTGTCAGAACCAAAAATATACAGTTCCAGTATCCCTGAAGACAAACCCCCAACTCTTCCCCTATTAAGCACCAACTGCTGTAATGCACAGCAGGGCTTTAAGATAAAAGCACATAATTTTGTAGATAATGTTTTTGATTCAAAGGGGTGATGTCTGTTTGTAAATTAACAATTAAAGTACAACAAGATCAACAGAAGGTCAGATTATCAAGCACAGTATTCCACCAGAAGAAATGTACAAAGCTAACATCTTTCCAAGTTAGTCATATCTGTAGTACTGCCACCTTGATAAGGGGTGGAAATTAACATATCCTTAACCTCAACTCCCCTAACCTAACTTCACTCTTTAAAAACTTTTTAAAGCAATCACATTTTCCACATAACTTTTCCAGTGCACTCCAGAATCAATCCTGTTTACAGACTTCAAAATACAACTTTAAATAAAATTGCAGAAACCAGAGTTTGGTTTAATCATTTTGGCTTTTTTTCTTTTTCCTCTCTCTTCTTCAAATACAAACACTCCGGGCATGGTGGCACAAGCCTATAATCTCAGCACTAGAGAAGCTGAGGCAAAAGGATTGCAAGGAGTTCAAAGCAAGTCTGGGCTACATAGTGAGTTCAAGGCCAACCTGAACACAACACACACACACACACACACACACACACACACACACACACACACACACACCCCACCATGGGTAAGTAGAATGTTTCTGAAAAGGTTGCTGAAGCTGTCAGCTTTGGGGATCTTGGAAAGAGGAATCAGCAAGCTCTTAGTTCAATTTCCCAAGTCTCTTTTCTGTCCCACTTCAAGCAGGGATTCAGAAGACACCCCCTGCAGTCCATCTCATCCTAAAGAACAGCAGCTGTCTGCTGCAAGGAACAGACTGAAGCCTGCAAATTGACTGAAATGACTACTCTTAACCAAACATCTCATTTTTCCGATTGTGAGACCGGCTGGGATTTTCAAACCCCTGGTCTCAGAAGGCGAACGCTGTACTTGCTAATCAAGAGTAAAAACTCAATTCCTCTTTGCTATTAAGGCAAACACCAGTTGTCAATGTTTTGGAGACTTTTACAGAGTTTTGTAAGTACATACTATGTTTAAATGTCCATATTAAATGTATAAGGCAAAAAAAAACAACCTCTTAAACAACCAAATCCAGGATGTGAACTATGAATAGACACAACTGTTACCTTTCAAAGACCTTTAGTTCTTTATTCAAACAAATATTTGCACGATTGAGGACAATGGCATCAGACATATAGCTATTCTGTTAAAATAGTGGACAACCCTAACGGTTTATTTATCCCAAATCCTATTCTCTGTTGCTATCCTACCAGGAAGTAAGAATTCAAGTGCTGCAAGGGCAAAAGTTTAACCCTGTGAAACTGAACCTGAGACCTTTTCCGACGGAATTCAGACTTTAGAGGCCTGGGGGTAAATCTCAATGTCCATGTTAAACTAAACTAGGAAGCTTAAAGTTACAAGTCCAATACTCGAAAATTACGTCTGTAACTTACAGTGTGATATAATGAAGGGAAATGTGGCAGACAAATATTTACACTAACTGGATTCCACATTTCTGTGCCTCTTCTCGCTCCCACCCAGCGCGCCTGGCCGTGCCTGGCCATGCACCCTAGAACTCCTCCAGGATGCTCCCGAGCTGCCTGAGGAAGACTTTCCGAGAAGAGGCCAGGCTCAGCCTAGACAATTTCTAGCCCCAGGCAAGTCTACCTACAGAAAAAATCTGCGGATGTCGTTCCCTCTTTTACTAAGTAAGAAAGGTAAATGAGCTGCTGAAAGCAGGTTCAACTTCCAAAGCTCTTTCAAACAGGAAACCCCAGCCCTGGGAGGGACAGCCTGTCAGGCTTTTAATTTCCTGGCGGTGGCGGGAGTCAGCCAGGTCCTCAGCTCTTTAATAAGAGATGACCGCCAGTAAAAGTTAGTAAACGCACCGGCGAACTTCTCAACCACTACTCTGCCGCGAAGGGCGCTGGTGGTCCGGACTGTCTCCTGGCTTCCCGGTCGCTATCCGCAGCGGCGCAGAGAAAGACGTACCATAAAGTTTTAGAGGACACAAAACCAAATCGGCCTCAGTCTTTCAGGCTCACCCATCCCCTTCCGAGCCTCACTCCAAACAAAGAGTAGGTCCCCAGCAATCTGGAAGGGGCAACAGAAGTGTCTTCTCTGATTCCCTCGACTTACACCATCAAGCTGTGCACCTTCAACTCCCCGGGGATCTTGATCCCGTTCTCCTTCGGCAGAGACGTCGGTAAAAACTACCCCCGAAACCCGCAAATCCGGGTGTTCCCCGGAATCGTTCTGGAAGCGTCTCTTCTACCCGGACACCCCTTCCCCAGGACTGCCCCAACCCGAGGCGCACCCAGCCCACCACCCCCGGAGGGTGCACAATGGGGATCCGAGTCTCCCCACGCTGCACAGCCCGCACACCCCAGGCCCCGGGCGTTTGTCCCTTCAGACTGGAGACGCTAAGGAAGCCTGCGCCCCGGCACCCACTTACCGTCTCATCCTTCTCCCGAGATGCGGTTCTCCGCTGACCCCTACCCCTGCCCGCCTTTTCCCTCCGCCCACCACCCCCGGAGGGTGCACAATGGGGATCCGAGTCTCCCCACGCTGCACAGCCCGCACACCCCAGGCCCCGGGCGTTTGTCCCTTCAGACTGGAGACGCTAAGGAAGCCTGCGCCCCGGCACCCACTTACCGTCTCATCCTTCTCCCGAGATGCGGTTCTCCGCTGACCCCTACCCCTGCCCGCCTTTTCCCTCCCCCCTCAGACCCTCCCTGCTTCCAAGGCCGTCTACTGGAGGCTTTTACGGCCGCAGCAGGGGCCTGGCTGCTCGCCCCGTCGACGGGCACCACCTTGGCAAAGCCGCGCTCACAGCAAAGCAGCAGAGACTTTTGTGGCAGGGTTTTTTGTTTTGTTTTGTTTTGTTTTGTTTTTGCTTTTCTTTTCTTTTTTTTAATGAGCTGGGAGTAGGGCGGGACAATGAGTAGACATCCTCCTGTGATGATTTCCTCCCGACCCTGGGGTTTCAACTAGGGAAACTCCAGGTGGCCACACCCCCTCCATAGTTCGCCCCCGGGCAGGTTTACCTGTGCACCAGAAAATCAGCCTGTGAAAAAGTTTCAGGTAGGGCTGGGGTGGGGTTGGGTTTAAAACTCATTCATACAGATGGCCTTGCAATCTTTTCTCTTAAAGGTTTCTCCCTTTCTCTCCTCCCTCACTGCCTCTCCTCCCCTTCCTTTTCTTTTTCCCCTTTCTCCTCCCCTCTTTCCCCTTTTCCCTTTCCCCTGCTCTTTCCTTTCACCGGGAAAAGGTCTATTTTTCCAACATATTGTTCCATATTTTTCCAACATATTGTTGTCACTAATGGAAGTGCAGATGTGAAGTAGCTCTGAAGGCAAGGAAATGGACCCAGAATGGCCCTTTCTATCCTCTTTTTTTTGTTTTGTTTCTGGTACGGGGGATCCAACTCGTGATCTTGTGCTTGCAAGGCAGGCGGCAGCAACACTGAGCTAAATCCCTGGCCCGGTCCTACCTCGGCTGTGTTCTGGACTAGTCCCTGGAGTTATGGAACTGCAGTCGTAAAGGAATTCAGAGAAGCAAGAAAAACATCAAAGTGCGTATTTAACTTATGACAATGTGTCTTTGGCCAAATTGTTTTAGCTCTTAGCAACAATTTCTTCATCTCTAAGATAGTAATAATGGTACTGGTGCTGCAGGGCAGTTAATAAGCTTCTGTATGAAACTGTGCAAGCAATGAACCTGGCTCCTTGGTAGACTTAACAAATAGCTTATTCAAGATACTTTTCATTTGTTCCAGTGCTTCAGTAACGTCTAATTCAGGGAGAACTTCGCCGACAAGAATGCCAGGCTTTTTATAGGAATTCTCTTTCCTGCTTTGGTTTTTGCCCCCACAGACATAAACATGAATCAACCCAATACTTAAATGCTTTAATAATTCTTCTCTCATACATCATCAGTTAGCCCCTCTTTGTTGTATGAATCCTATCAACTTGAAATTATGCAACTTCCACAGTTTCTGTCATCTTAAAATAAAACTCTCCTGACTCTACTTTTCCTACCAAGCACATGCCCTTTTTTCTGCTCAGCTACTCTAAAACTCCATTAAAGACTTTTTTTTTCTTTTTAAAAAAAAGGCACACTCCAACTTCTTCCCATTTTCTCCAATTGGGCCTTGCTTCTACTGTGTCCCTAGAATTGTTCTTGCTGAGATTAAACAATGCAATTAAAAGATTGTTTCTTGGTTTTCATCTTATTTGAGTTTACTGGCAGCAAGCAATATTGATATTTTCTCCTCCCGGAAAACACTTTTTTGTTCCTTCTAAGTCTCCTTTGCCAATTCTTCGTCTTTTCTCAACCTCTGAACATTAAATACCTAGGGTTCAGACTTTGAATCTCTTCTTTTCCTCATCTATTCTCACTTTGTGATCTCATTCTGTCTTCTGGCACTACAAGTCCATCTGCATGTTGATCTCCGCAAATTTCACCTCCAGCCTGGCCATCTCTCCCAATCTCCAGATTCCTGACAGCTGGACTCTTGACAGCTGGACTCTAAGATGCCTATTAGTCTTCCCAGACTTAGCATTTCCAACACTGAAGCCCTGAAATTCCTCCCTCTGTCTCTGAAACACTTTTCCAACTGATGTCTCTCTCTTTTTTTTTTATGTGCCAGGGATTGAACTTGGGTTCTTGCGCTTGTGAGGCAGGTGGCAGAACCACTGAGCTAAATCCCTGGCCCAAATGATGTCTTTATATCAAGCTGAAAACCTTGGTACCATCTATGACATTTTCTATATTTCTCCAATCTAATGGAAAGTCTTTTCTGTTTCTATTTTTGCCCTCATAAAAGATATTCTCAACACAACAAACAAAATAAGCATTTTTGAACATTAGTAGGTACAAATTACTCCTGTGCTCAAAATTCTGCCATGCCCCTATCTCAGGCAAAGCAAAAGCTATCTATATATTGGCCCAGAAGGACACCTGACCTGTCAATTCTGACCTCATCTCCTACTTCTCTCATGTCACTCACCTCTTTGCACAATGGTGTCCTCTAATATTCCTAGACTATAGTCCTAGAGAATGGTGCTGCAATCACAGTGGCTCTGTACTAACTTTCTTCTCTGCCTAGAACTTCCCATTCCTTCCCCATCTCCTGTATCTCTGAGTCTTGGTCTCTCACTTCCTTTAAGATGTGGTTCAAATGTTACCATCTTGCTCAGGTCTACCCTGATCACTCGACTTAAAATGTAATGTGCATTTTCCATACCAATACACTTTTTTTGGGACAGAATTACTACCTATTATGACATTGTAATAGTAAGATTTCTATTATTATATCCAATACCTGAGATAATAAATTTCTAAAGAAAAAAGGTTGATTTGGGCTCATAGTTTGGAGGTTCCAATCTGTGAGTGATAGGCCCTGTTACTTTGGGCCTGTGGTGGAACAGCACATTCTGGTGGGAGCACATAGCAGAGCAGAACTGTTCACCTCTTAGTCCCGGAACAAAAAGATAAGAGAGGGAGGGTGGTGCTGGGGTCCCATAATCTCCTTCAAGAGGAGGTATCCAGTTACCTTAAGACCTTCCACTAGATTCTCTTAAGGATTCTGCCACCTCTAAAAAGCCATACCTGGGAACCAAGCTTCCAGCTCCTAGTCCTTGAGACACTGCAGAGCCAAACTATAGCAATTATAAAATGTACTCTTAATTACGTTTGTTGCTTATCTCTCTTTGCTAGAATGTAAGGGTTTTTTTGTTGTTTTTGTTTCTTTTTCTTTTCCTGTACTGTCCAGTGCCATATTCTTGTGTATACAGAATCGTGCCTTGCATATAGTTGATGCTTAAGAATAAATCACAACCTTGACTCAAAACTATTCCCTTGCTTGGACTACTATCAGCGATATGTGTGACATAGATATTTTAGAACAAAAGTTATTTGCCTCTCTAAAGGTCAAAAGAGCATGCATATTAAAACAACACACCTACAGTCACCATAGTTAAGTTGCCGATATCCATGGCTGCAGAAAATAGGTGATATTTATTCAGAACAAATACCATCTGTGTGCATCAGCCAGTCATCCAATCTATGTTAGCATTCTTTAGTTCACCATGGATATTGCACCCATTTTATAAGTGAGAAAATGAGGCACAGAGAGGTCAGTGGACGGGGCACTAAGCAAGTTAAATTGATAGTCAGGATTTGCACATAGACAGCTAAGTTCTAGAGTCCATGAGTTTAAATGCTAACCCCCATACCACTCTTCTTTAAATAAGGAAATTATTGGGAAATTTCTATGTAATGAATATTTCCTAATCACTAGGAAAACAAATCCCCATGGGCCCCCTTTCACTGCTCTGTTTTTTGTTTTTTTGATATCGGGGATCGAATTTGGGACCTTGTGCTTGAGAAGCAGGCAGCAGAACTACTGAGCTAAAACCCTGGCCCCTCTGTTACTATTTTGATGTTTCTAGCCTAGTTCTTTGAAGTCAAAGAGGGCCATTTTATTTATATTTATAAATTATATGCTAAGGGCTGATACATAAAAGAAGCTCAGAAAGTATTTATTTAATGTGACTTTCTAAGTCATTAAACCTAAAAGACTACCTTGAAAGTGCAAGTGCTGAATTAAATGGTAAATACAAACACCAGAATCTTAAATAACACTCAATAAATAGCTGTATTCCTGTTATTATTGTTCTACCAGACTTTTGATGCTTTAAAAATAGAAAAAAAGATATAAATAAATAAATGCACTCACTCCTTTTTTCCCCATTTCCCATAGTAAAATTTCCTATGTAACAGCAGACTACAGCCACACTTTTCTCTTTGCCATTCCCAGTTGCTGCCTACAGCAATTGTGTTGTAAACTACACAGCACACTTTCTTTCTCTCTTTGCCTCTACAGGATCTGTAATAATTATGGTATTTAATCTGGCTTTGCTGTGTTCTTCACTCTGAGGTGAGGAAAGATAAATTGCACATAGTGATAAGATGAATTATGTATGGGTTATTCCATTTGGAATTACTTTTGCTATTGCTCCCTTTCAGTAAAAAAGACAGGTTGGACTTGATTAAATTTTTATGCCCTGAATCTGTGTATATCTTCTTTCTATTGGATTAATAGTATAACAACAAATCTCTGTAGCTGTTAATTCAGTACCCAGTCCAAATACTGGAATATTTTGTATTAGTTTTCTTTTATGACTATTTAAAAACTCAAGAATTTTTATTTGCAGAGCACTGTAGAATGATTTTTTTATTGATTTTTGGAATCAGGCTGACCTAGATTTAAATCCTGACTCAGCCCTTAACTACACAGGCAACTTGAGTACACTGTCTACCCTCACTGAGGGAAAAAAAATACGCTATTCTGAAAAACACATATTTATGAATTAATGTTGTATTGTCAATACTATTCTTTGCACTGGAGACCACACAAAGATAGCAAACAAAAAAACAGTTTCCAAGCACACAAAAAACGTTTCCAATCACACTTGTCCTTCTGTGGAACTGTTATCAGTGACATCAACCAATGTGTTGTACACTGACTAAACCGAGTGCCATGTTACATACTCCTCTTACAATTTAGTACTGGGATACATTGTCTCTTTCTTAAAAAATATATGCTCTTCCATTTCTTAGAAAAGGTAGCTTCATTTACTTTTACATTAGATTTGCCACTACTATTAAGGAAAACTATGTAAACCAAAGTTTCTCTGCATTCTGTTTTGTTTTGTTTTCTTTGGTACCAGGGATTGAACTCAGGTCCTTGCACTTTAGAGGCAGGCGGTAGAACCACTGAGGTAAATCCCCAGCCCTTTCTCTGCATTCTGATTTCCAGGAAGCTCAAACTTTCTATGAAATTGTTATATAATGTTAACAAAGATTTTTGCTTCCACATCATTTTAAAATTTCTATTCCAATGGTCTTATTAGATGTTTGGAATTATGTTTTTAAATATATATTTAAATATGTGAAATAAAAACAACACATTAACTGTTCAGATACATGTTACAGTCACTTTAACCTCTCAAGGGCATAAAAAGGAAAATGCCTCAATTTTCTCACCTCAGCAAATTAATGATTATCCCTATGTGCCGTTTCATGTTAAAACTATTATCGATTGTTTTTCTAATTACAAGAAAAATCTAAATCGATTTGCAGCATCAATTAATTTCTGCATAAACACGTTCTCTTTGTGCTCTGCCCTCAATCTTTTCTGTGAATTTGTATTGCAGTCAGGCAGGAAAAGGATGCTGAGTGTGTGTGTGTGTGTGTGTGTGTGTCCTTCTGAATAACCTATTCCAACTGTGTTTATCTGGCTGACTTTTCTAACCTCTTGAGAACTGTGAGTTGTTCTACTTTTCTGCATGGTGGGCTTAAAACAAGGAGTTTTTGCTTAATATAGAAAAATAAAAACAGAATTTTATCAGCAGTGCTTCTCAATATTGCAGGAAACTCAGCTTATCTTTGTTGTTCTCAATTTTACCTTTTATCTGACTTTCAGATCGCTCCACTTACACACTGGTTTCTAGATTCATCCTTAACAGTGTGTGTGTGTGTGTGTGTGTGTGTGTGAGTGTGTGTGTGTGCATGTGTATGTTAAGCCACAGCAACAGATGTTCAAATTTTATGTGTAAGATATATACCTACCTCATTGCATGGCAGACTTCTGACAACTCAGAACATTTTGAGGATTCAGAAGATGAGGAATCTTCAAAGATAAATTTACTAAGAAGCTACTCCTTCCATACAGTGTGCCCAGATGCACAGGAGAAGGAAGATAAACCATTTTATGATGTGTCTCTCTGTATGGAGCTTTTTGCCTAGCATGTAACAATAACATAATAATACAATATAACACATACTATAGAAAAAGAAAAACACAAAGAGTTCAGATAATGGGGCATCTGTGTCCATTACATCCACAATGAGTGTGACCTTCCTGTTGAAAGAAATGGGCTTTCTAAGCAGAGGAATGCTGTAAGCAATGCAGGATGAAAGTAAAGCCAAGAAGGTTTTGGATATAGCAAGTAATACAGCCTGTACAAGGGAGGAGAAGCAGGAGATAAGACCCTAAAATCTGGGGCCAGATTTGTGGGGTGAGGAGAGACAGGAATTTGAATTTCAGATTTCATGCCCAATACCATTTTAATTGTATCATTTCCTTGCTTTAAACTTGCACTGGCTTTTCCTTGCTTGACACACACAGGAAGAACCAGTGGCTGTGAAGGAAGTAAAACCTGATTATATAGAGCTAAGATGAAAGGCAAAGATGAGCTTCAGCCACAAGATTTAGACTCCAATAAAAGTATAGTGATGCTGTTTCCTATAGTAAACAGGTATGCATCCAAGTCCAAGTCCAGGCTGCTTAGCAAAGTATTCATTAGAGCCTGGTTAGGATGCTGGGCCTGCATGTTCCTGAGTGCCACCCTTTTTTCCATGTTGTGGTCACTCTATAGTCACAGGTCCTATAATTCTCACAGAAAGAAGAATGAAGCAGGTAGCTTTTGGCTGATAGGCCAAGTCTTGGACAGAAAATTTAGTGACAATATGCTAATGAATCAATGGTATCCCCAGATGGTCAGGCTACTTTCTTAATCTTTTTTAATGTTCCAATTTCTGAGGATAACTTCATCGTTTCTCACAAGGGAATAATAAATATAGCTAATAAAATATTACCACATAGCTCCCTTTTTGACTAGATATTCACTACTATTGCCCCCAAAGTAGTAAATGGTTGTTTGAAGAATTTATTTCTGATACAGGTAGTATTGCTTGTGTCTTATACAGTTCTTTTAGACTCATTTGAATTTCTTGTTTTGCTCAGAAAGCAGGAATTTCTGTAAGTGATAAATACATCTAACAGAGATGGCTGAAATCCACTTGTTGTGTTGTTCAGATGGGAATGAAAAAAAATCACATTTAAAATGTCAGTCTCTGTGGGCATAGTGGCACATACCAGTAATCCCAGGTTCTTGGGAGATCAAGGCAGGAGAATAGCATGTTTGAGGCTAATGTGCAGTTAGTGAGTCCCTGTTTCAAAAGTAAAAAAGGCTCAGTACTCTCTAGGTTCAGTCTCCAGTAGCCCATATATATGTGTGTGCACGCACACACACATACACACACACAGTCATTGTCTTGTTGATTTCCAGAGGTTGAATCCATAAGGTATCAGTATTATTTTTACAAGATTGATATAAGAATCTCCCAAAATTTAATATTGGTATATAGATACTTTTAATGTTACTATTAGTGTTAGCCTTATAAAAACCTGAACAACCCAATAATACACAAAAGATGAGTCACACATATTGAAGAGCAAATGTGGATACATTTAAAGGGTGTGTATTTCCCTTCTCCTACACCAGGAGGACTAGAAGAGCTTTGTTTCCTCTTTTTTGGGGTACCAGGGATCAAACTTGGGCCCTTGTGCTTGCAAAGCAGGTGGCAGAACCACTGAGCCAAATCCCAGCCCTCTTTTTCCTCTTTTTAAAACGCTCAAATAAGGTCTGAGGAAAGCCTTTCCACAACATAACTAACTGGTGTACTGGGAGAGGGAAAGCACAATCTTCTCACTACTCTCTGCTGAGTACTGATGAGCAATGTAATCTACACAAACCTTGATGTGGTTTATTGTTTTACAAAGGCTAATTTTGTTCCACATCCAGAAATTATGAAAGTGATTGATTATCTATCTGGGTAGAAAATTCCTTACACAGTTAATTTTTTATTGGTGGAGGATAACATTACCCTAGATGAATAATTCACTAGCATTGGTTCACAAAAGAAGGTTTTAGCTTTCATGGCCTGTTAGTATTTCATTTTAAATTCTCAGTGACTTGTAAATAGTTGAATGCCTTGGTCCTTTTGGAAAGATCAGTCTCTTGTTTTCTGTTCCAATTGTCACAGTTCTCAATACAAGAAGAATGAGGCTGAGGGTGTACATGGAGGAGAGTGGGGATCATACACTGCATACCTCCACATGGATGTCCCTTTGCAGGGTGCAACCAACATGTTCACATCATTGTCACCTCCCATATGTGCCTCTCAGCCCTCGTTTTTGTTATAGTCCACTGTTAAGTAAAGATCACCCTCTTATATCCAGGTATACAACTCCACATTCTACAAAGCTTCTTTAGTTCATCATCCTTCTTCAACCTCTATTAAAATTCTTTACTAAATCACATTGTTTTTATCTTTTAGCTGTTTTTCATTGCTGAGGATCAAGTCCACAGCCTCATACATGCGAGGCAAGCACTCTGTCACTGAGTTATAGCCCTCATTTTTGCCTTTTAAATATCTGTCAACAGTACCCTTTCCCATTTCCTTTGTCTTCATTGACCATATGGCAGTTTCTCTCCTGTGGGAGACTGCTCCTCCAAAAATACTTGGAAATATTTTCCAGTCTTTTGTTACTAGGGGATCTCAAAAGTTTCCATTGTCTTATAACACAGTGACCCTGATGGTTTTCATAGCCTTATAAGAGATGTACAGCAATGAGTATTACTTAAATATGTTATTATAATATTTTTACATTGGTTATCAAAGGGTTGTTATAAATGTGCTATTGTAATATGTTTATACTGGTCATCTTCAAAAGATTAAATTTTCTGTGAGAAAAATAACAAAGTTTCATTGAAAAGATGCATTTGGTACCAAACTAAATTAAAGGGTATAAAGTTTCATATAACTGTGATACTTATTATTGTTAATTTTCTGGTGTATTAAGTGTATTCATGTTCTCTGACTGTACAGGTTTTCTAATATATTGCTTATGGTAGTAAACTCCATTAGTTAAGGGATCTAAGAGCCAGCAGTTAACAATCACTATTTTAGTCCATTAAAAATGGTTTCTAAACATGGATCTTTCCCCAAGATGCTTTTTCATTTTAGTACTTATACTTTGATTATACATGCTCTAATTTCTTAAAATTTTGTTTAATCTTGCCTTTAGGCTGTCAAACTCCAAATGATCATATAGATAAAATTAACGACAAATGTACTAGACTTTTTTTTTTTTACCAAAATCTACAGATTGGCTCTATAAAGAGAGTTTGTAATTGCTAAATTACAAAATAATTTTAATTTAAGGGTTATTAAATTGGCTCTCTGAAGGAGAATCCCTAAATGCGGTCTTCCCTACATCAACCAGTTGGATTGAAACTATATCCTTTCTCCCCTAACTGCAGTTGGGGATGCACTTTATACAGGAAATCATTACAGCTAAATTAGTTAAACATATTATAGGTCCTTATAATCTACAGAGAGAAGCCACTGTTAGCCATACTCACCTTTCCCTAAAAACAATTACATAAACAAAAGGGGGGGGTACAGCTACCTCCACAAGCTCTATTAGACCTTGTTACTTTCATTAAAAAATTTTAAAATCTACTTATAGAAGATAAATAAACTCCATCGACACAAGATAAATCTACAGACATGTCCTAGACACTAGTGTTGTCAAAGGATGTCCTAAGTAAAAGGTAAATGGCTCAATACAATTAATAACATAATAGCCAGGGTACGCTTATTTTTCAACAGAAAATAAAAAGATGCTGTGGCCATCATTCTAGACCATACAACCATGCACTGAGATGATGGATTTGCTGCAAGCAGCTCAATGTAAACCCCTGCTGAGAGCCATGCAAGGCTGCATCTGAGGATTCCCTTCATGTGCTGTGGCCCTTGGACTTGTGGAGATCACCAGACCTGATACACTCTCTGCCAATGAAACCCAGGAACAAACAGGCCCCAAGGACAATTGCAGTTCACCCTGATGCAGCTGCTGCCATTTCCAAACAGAGAAGCGGGAAATTCAGGAGACTGTAATATTGATGATGCCCAAGTGGGGTGTAAAGAATTAACCCTGCAATTGGCTTGTTTATAAGAGTGAGTCGGGCTGGAGCCTATGTGCCAGAGTAACTTGTACCCAAATTCCTTTTCCAGAATTCAAACCTTCTTACTTGAAGGGCAACATTCTATTTACAACCATGTATTTTGCCTATTCTGTTCCTAATTCAAGAATGCTTTGTCTTGCCTTTTATGAGCTTTGCTTACATTAATTTCTATAGAAACTGCCCAATTTTGTGTCCTTGTTCTGCCCTGCACTTGGCACACAACTCACTTTTACCCCAATTGATTACCAATAAAAATCAGTGGCTTTGACTGGCCAGTGCCTTTGTTGGTTGTACTGGCATTGGTTGTCCTGGCACTCTGCTTTCTGTCTCTCTTAGTTCTTTTAGTCCCCCCCCCGCCACACCCCTGCCTCAGGCCTGAGTTGTACACTGAGCAGGAGACTGGAGTCTACTGTAGAGGCTTCTGGTAATGTTTCAGGGGTCCCAAGTAAACTCCCACTTCTAGGGGGAGATGGAGCAGTATTAGACCCAAGGCAGGAGGGACACTGTCATGTGTAATAAACAAAGTTCACCCAAGACAAAAGCTGATGGAAGATTCTAAAATGGAAGGTAAGACTCACATTTTGGAGAAAGGGTCTGGAAGAATCATACTCAACATCCTATGCCTTTGCCCATGAAGGGGATAGGGTAGGTGATAGTTGCTGAATGTTTAAAGCTTCTATTTATGGTTGGAAGTGATGGAAGCAGTGGTGGGGGTGGTGGGGATGGTGGTAGTGCTGGCGGCAGTGGTAATGACATAGAGACAGGTGCAGCCAGATAATGGAATTATAATAAGCTCCTGAATCAAGCTTCTGGCTTCAATAGCACTAATTACAACTTTCAATTATTTTATTAATCTTTTTTCCTTCATCTCCCCAATAAATTCTAAACCTTGTAAAGTCAGGGATCTTATTCACCTTTGTATACTCAGTGCAATACATTATACATGAGAGACACTTAATACTTATTGAATAATTACATAAATTGGTCTCAAATACTGAAAATCAAATCTCATCACTTTAATGTTTAGAATTCTTCAGTGAATCTTCAAAGCCTTTAGGATAAAATAAATTGGGAAACCTCAGTTGAAATCAAATAAGTCATCTGGTTATTCCAGGCTATTTTCCTAATAGCTTACCATTTCCTCCCTCTTCTTCATAAAGAGGGGCTGTTCGAATCACAGTAAATAAACTATTTGCAGTTATTCACATATGTCACACTTATTGCCCTCTTTCCTTATAACCACAGTTCATTCAGTGACAGTTGATTCAGAAATCCTCCTCTCCAAAAGCTTTTCCCATCTCCATGCCTGACTTTTGTTAAGTGTCAAAATATCTCATATGTTGACTTGCTATTTTTCTGGGGTTTGTTTCTATGTCTGCTCAAGATACACATGCCTACAGATTTCAGACTTGTAGCTCCCACAACAGAGTAAAACAATTCCTTTAACGCCTTCCTTAACATCTCTCTCCTCCAACACACACAGAAATTTATATATGTTTCTATTTTTCTGAAGAACCGTGACACAGGAGCTTTCCATTTTAATTCCTTGTGTCTAGAACTTAGCAGAGAGAGTAAATTAAAAAATTAAACCTAGTTTGAAAACCTCCTGCACCAGAAAAGGACTACAGGAAAATATTAATGAGATTGACTGAAACCAGGTGCCCAGGACACCCGAGTTACTTGGTCATGTGATATAAGAAAAAATAAGGAGGAAAAATATTTCATGAGTCCATTTATTCTGTGCGAATGCCAGAACATTTCGCAAAGATTTCAGCCAGCAGCATAACCTTGTGAATTTGGAAATAGCTGGGTTGGAGCCTTGTCCTTCCCGGGAAGAGACAGTGGAATCAACTGCTGTGTTAAAGAAACGTTGTTGCTGCCTTCCTCTGTGGGGCCCCTCCCACTCCTATTCGTCTGGGCTTGATTTCTGAGTGACTCATGAATCAGTGCAAATGACCTCTTTGCACGAGCTGCTTTGTCACCTGGCATCTGGTTCAAACAAACCTTCAACACGTCTTCAGCTAGACGAGGAGCTGAGAATGAATACGTGACTGAAGCTCTGCTGGGGACTGCAGGCCTCAGCCTATCTTCCCGATGCTTAAGGGCTCTTAGATTTAGACGGGAAAATGCCAGCTTGCTCCCACTACGCATAGCGGAATAGCTACTTGTAAATATGTGCTGAAACTCTGAGAATGGAGAACACACCCCGAGGGTTCTCACCGAGATGCTGAGCATCACCCACACCATCTTCCACCAGCTCCTCTCTCTGGGTACCTGCGGCCTCCATCAGGATCTTCTGCGGAATATCAAAGGAGAGCCTGGTCGATGCCAACCTGGATTCAGCAAGAAAGGAAAACTACTATAATTGGGTATCTGAAAGTCAGACTGAGTGCTGAACACTGAAGACCCACAGAGTTTCATCTGTTAAACACAGATGGCTGAGCATCTGGGAAACTCTATCTGCTGTTGAAGCTGAAAAATAAACACGCTGGGAGAGCCTGTTATCTCTCTGCTAATTCTCCTTGTGAATGACAAAATTATCAACACCAGCAATGGCACACTTTTAGACAGAGTAGTTACAGATTCTAAAAAGTAGATTTTAGCAGATAAGTACAATAGTCCCCTCTTCTCTATTAGGGGTACATCCTAAGAAGGCCAGTAGATGCCTGAAACTGCAGGTGGTACTTAACCATATATATATTTAATATTTTCCTATACATATATTTATAATACAGTTTAATTTATAAATTAGGCACACTAAGACATTAATAAAAATTAATAAAAAAGAGTCATTATAGTAGTATAATGAGTTATATGAATATAATGAGTTATATGAGTTATATAATATAATAATTTATATGAATGGGGTTCTCTCTCTCTCAAAATAGCTTATGGTAGGATCCTAGCAACTTCAAAACAGAATCTTTTTATTTTTATTTTTTTACTTATTAAGTAGAGAGCTTTCACTTTTCCATAACTTTTCCACTTAAGGGAAGCATTTATGGCTTCAATCTGGCATATCTGATTCAGCAGCATCTAACCAGCCACTAATAAAATAAAGGTGAATGAATACAAGCACTGTGATAAAATGACAATCTGCTATTTGAGACAGCTAAGCGATTAGTGGGTGGGTACCACATTTAGTGTGACTATGCTGGACAAAGGAAGCATTTACATCCCATGTGGGATGGAGCAGAATGGCATGAGATTTTATTATGCTGGTCAGAAAAGCATGCAATTTAAAACTTGGGAATTTATTTTATGGTAGAGTATTTTCCATTTTATGTTTTCAGACCACAGTTGATCATAGGTAGTTGAAACTATGGAAAGCAAAAATTTGGATTAGGATCAAACTCGAGACCTTGCATTTGCAAGGCAGGTGCAGTGCCACTGAGCTAAATCCCTAAATCCCTGGCCTTTGAGGGATGAGTTTCTTGACCTGGTGGTATTTTCTTGGATTTGTTCTTGCTCATTTTTGAGTTATCACTCAGTGCTTATTATTTACCAACCACATTCTAGGTACTTTGTCATTATTATTTCTTTTAACTTTTACAATATTCCACCTTATGGAGAAGGAAACCGACATCCTTACTTTCAAGGCCTCCCTAAGGAGCTGCTTCCCAAGCTTTCCTGTGTCCAGCGTTCTCCTCAGATTCAAGTGGACTGAGTGGTGACACTGTCCTATTGTCATACCAGGGCCGCTAAATGTTGTGCATTTACCATGCCAAATATTTTCTCACAATGACTAGGGCTAGGATGTATCATTTTAAATGGGCAAACATTTAACAGTTAGAGGCTGAGGGAGATTACTAGAGTTATCAAAATCGTATCACCAGTAATTTCTATTACCTTGTTTAAAAAAATCCTTATTGTGCATTAAAATGCTGAGAAGGTGTGAGGATTTGTTTAAGTTATTCTTGGTATGTATTAAAGAGGATGGATTTTTAATAGTGGAAGAACTGCAGGTAAAAAGACAATTTAGAGGTCTGTGTAACAGTTTGGGGAAGAGATGCTAAAAATCTAAACCAGGGCACTTGTTCAATGCAATAAGAAATAGATTGTAATCTATATGCAAAGTAAAATTCAACAGGCCAATATAATTTATTGGTACTGTCAGGTGAGCACAGGGAAAAAGTCCAGTATGATTTAATTGAGTAATGATTGGGACATTATTTAATAATATAAATACAGAAATAGAGCAGATGCAGTATAAGAATAATTCAATTCTGGGCATCTAAAGTAGGAAAATACCTGTAAAATATATTAGTAGAGTATCAAGTGAAATTCAGGATAGACAATATATGTATATATATATATTATATATTTTGTTTGTTTGTTTGTTTTTGTAATTTATGGAAGTACAGAAAATTTCCAAGTCTTTGTTTCCACTTTTGAAACACAAAATAAGCATTAAAGTAATAGAAACAAAGTTGCTAGAAACAAATTGTTAATGTATTGCAGTTAGATATGGCCAATAAGCATTACTTTTGCTCCTAGCATCCGCAAAATCAAACAATGAGGCCTTTGGTGTCAGATAGTTGTCTCTGATAGGCTGCCAAAAAGACTGTACTTAGTTTTCAGAGAGGGTGTAAAAGAGAACAAGCCTGTCGAGGCTGGTGCAGCATGCCTGAAATCCTAGAATTTAGGAGGCTGAGGCAGGATTGTCATGAGTTCAAGATGAGCCTGGGCTGCATGATGAGTTCAAGGCCAGCCTGAGCAACATAGAAAAAAATTCAGACGAAATGGATGATTCCTATGTATTGTACAATCTATCTAGTGTACATATGGACTACCAATCCAGAACTGACAAGAAATAAAATTCCTGAAAATTTGAATATTAAGCAATGAAACTGAAGAAGTAATTTAAAAAAAAACAACTAAGTTCCTGATAGATTTACTGCCAAATTTTACAAGAATTTTAGAGACAATCTAATACCAATACTCTGCAAACTCTTTAGTAAAATTGAAAGAGAAAGAGTACTCCCAAAATCATTCCAGGAAACTAGCATTGCTCTGATTCCAAAACCAGACAAAGACCCAATCAAAAAGGCAAACTACAGGCCAATATCTTTAATGAACATAGATGTAAAAATCCTCAATAAAATACTAGCAAACAGAATATAAAAATCATTAAAAATATCATATATCATGACCAAGTAGGATTCATCCTAGGGATGCAAAGTCATTCAACACATGCAAATCAGTAAGAGTAATACACCATATAAGCAAAAACAAGGACAAAAACCACATGATCACAATTGACCCAATTAAAGACCGATAAAATCTAACATCTATTCATGATAAGGAAAACCCTGAAGAAAATATGCTTAGAATAAGGATAAATATCCTTATCTCAAGTTGATGCAAGTCATTTATGACAAAGCAATGACAAAATCATTAAAAGAAGCTGAAAGCTTTTCCTCTAAAATCAGGAACAAGATGGGGTTGTTCACTATCACTACTTTTCTTCAATATACCAAGTCTGTTGACAAATGTATATCAGGAAAATAGGAACTTGTATAAATATTTAATATTAAATTTATTGAGACACTATGAGATTAATACAAGTTGCCTTTGGCCTCTACAATTATAAGAGGTGCTCAAAGGGGGTGGCCATTAGCTTCCAGGTATTTATTATTATGGCTAACTACTGAATGTGTATACATTTTTATAGCAAACTGTGTAGTTTCTGAAACATTAGCCAAAGCAACCAGGCAAGAGACAGAAATAGAAGGCATATGTATAGGAAAGAAAGAATCCAGATTTTAATTATTTGCAGATGACATGATCCTCTACATGGAAGACTCAAAATTTCCACTAAAAGATTCCAAGAATTAAGAATGAAATTCATTAGCATAGTAAGATACAAAGTCAACATATAAAACTCAATAGCACTCCTGTACATCAATAATAAATTCACTGAGAAAGACATTCATGAAACAATACCTTCCACAATAGCATCAATAAAATTAAATACTGGGAATTAACTGGCTACCCACATGCTGAAGACTGAAATTAGAGTAGTGTCTCTCACTAAGCTAATGTCTAAATGGATCAAAGATCTAAATATTAAAACAGAAACAATTAACCTGCTGAAAATTGAGTAAAACTCATGTAGTCATAGGCATAGGCAAAGACTTTCTGAACAGAATCATATCTGCACAAGAGACAATAGCATGAATCAACAAATGGGATGTTATCAAACTATAAAGCTGCGTAGCAAAAGAAACAATGAACAGAGTGAAGAGACAACCTTCAGAGTGGGAAAATATTTTTGCCAGCTATCTCATGCAAAATACACATACCTGGAATATAAGAAGAACTAAAAAATATTATATACTCCAAACTAAAAGTCATAAAAAATGGGTAACTGAAGTGAGTAGATTCTTTTCTGAAGAAGGAGGAGGAGGAGGAGGAGGAGAAGGAGGAGGAGCAGGAGGAGGAGAAGGAGGAGAAGGAGAAGAAATGCCAATAAGTGCATGGAAAAAATGTTGAATATCTGTGGCCCTTTACAGTAATACAAGTTAGAGCAACACTGAGATACCATCTTACTCCAGAAAGAATGGCTATCATCAAGTAATCGAATAACAACAAATGGTAGCATGGCTGGGGGGAAAAAGAAACCCTTTGATGGTGGTGTGAACATAAACTAGCACAACTACTATGGAAATCAGTGTGGAGATTCCTCAGAAAATGAAAACTAGAAATTCCATTTGATGGAGCTATTCTCCTTCTAGGCATCTTCTTAAAAAAGTTAGACATCATATTCCAGTGATACATGTATAACCATGTTCATAGCAGCACAATTCATAGCTAAATCCTGCTCATCAGCAGATGAATGGATTAAGAAAATATAGTATTTATTCACAATTGAGTACTCAAGGATAAATCTGAATTATTTGTAGGAAAATTGATGTACTTTTAAACTATGTTAAGTGAAAGAAATCAGACACATGAGCTTAAATATCATATGGTGCCTCTTATATGAGAGACCCCAATATAAATAAAAAGCAAAATAAAGATAGATGGTATAAGGGGGGAGTAGTATTTAACAGCTTTTAAAAGTGTGTAGGCTTTAGACTTCTCAAATCAGGTCTCTCCATTCATGACAGTACTTATTTGTGACTCGCTTAGTTTCTTAAGTAAATAAATACTTGGATGTGAAAAAAAGGAGGAAATCAAAAGTTGGAAAGAGTGGATGAGCAAAAGGGAAGCAGAAGATAAAAGGGAATTAAAATGTGTTACTTACATGTACTAACTCCCCAGAAGAAATGTAAAAAGTATGTACTGAAAATACGCAATAATAAAAAAATTATGAAAAGGCAAGCTAAGC